CAAATTCCTCTGCTGGCTTACAGAATTATTTGGGGCCTATTTCTGGACTTTTACTTTACTCTGCTTTGTCATTTTCTGTTGGCAGAATACAATACCCATCTGGCACAACACTGTACTTAGTGCTATGATTCTGACTGCTGAACTTGCAGAAGACAATACAGTCTCAGGACTACATTTTATTATATTGTATCTGCCCTAAAGTGGGAAAAAAGCAGCCATCACAAGGCTTGGTTTTCTCTTTCTTCATTCAGAAAGAAATGTGATAAATGAAAGTGTTTTTTATAACGAGCATGTATATGACAGAGTGCATTGTGCATTCCTAAATTAAAAGGAAATATTTTAAACTAAAATTGCCTCCTTATGTAAATCCCTTTTGTCTATCTCTGTCATTTGAAAGATATTTTCAAGGCATAGGAACTCTTCCAAGAATATATTCAATGTTATTTCACTGTTGATTGCTAACACTATATTTCAAACCCTTTGATATAGAATCACAGAATCACAGAGTGTTAAAGGCTTGGAATGGACCTTAAAGATCATCTAGGCCCCTCCCTCAGTGCCATAGGGCAGGGACACCTCCCACTAGACTGGGTTGTTCAAGGCCTTGTCCAAATTGGTTTTGAGGACTGCCAGGGTTGGGGCATTCACAGCCTCCCTGGGCAACCTGTTCCAATGTCTAACCATCCTCATAGTAAAGAATTTCTTCCTAACATGTAACATATTTTTTTTCCTTTTTTTCAGTTTGTAGCTTTTACTCTTTTCACTGTCTTTTCACTGCAATTCCTGATGAAGGGTCCCTCTCCAGCTTCCCTGTACCTTCCCGAGCAAAACAGCTGAATCTAGCTCCTCTCACAAATGTCTACACCAACCAACTCCTTACTCTGCAAATAATCAATGGGGGACCAGAATGTGTTTCATCTGAATTAAATCATGTAAATCATGCTAATATTGTATAAATACAAACACATCTGTAACAGTGAGTTAAAAGTATTTCTTACCATTCATGTTGCAACAGTGGTAGGGTCATTAGATGTGTGTGTTTTAAACACTTTCTTTTCTCTGAATGAAAACAGGAGAATAATCTTCAGTGTGTTTGAAATGTACAGAGCAGAAATCTCAGTGCAGTACGCAAAGATTACCTTTATACATCTACATGATCTTCTGGTTCAGATGCTTCACTAGAACCTGTTTTCTGATTACATGAACATTCTCCTGCCTCTCAGAGCTTCTCATGGAATTTCTGTAGCATTTTGTCCTCATTGGTGGGGTACCTTGATCTTCTCTGATGCACAGTGCAGATCAGAGACACTTGCCTTCCTCTACCCGGGGGAGTATTTATTTATCTGCTGGGACTCAGCAGACTCCATTCCCACCTACTTCAGCTCAGGGCTGGCTCCCTCTCTTACAAATCCCCTCAGGAAACCCATAATGGCAATCAGCAGAGCAGCAGCAACACATAGCCCTCATATCTCCTCCTGGTGCCTCTTGCTGTGGTTTTTGGGAAGAACATCCAATAGTGCTGTGCCTTTCACCCTGTGTGGTATCCACGTTGTGGCTGTGCTCCATCCTCTAGGTAAGGCCTGGGGTAAGGGCAGCAGTGTGGGGAAAAAGCATGGTGCAGCCAGTGTGAGTGTGGCACAGAAATGATGGAGCATGCTTGAGGAGCTTGTTTAAGAATCTTAATTAATTCACATCCCACTTCTGCCAAATAATACATCCAATGAAGTGAGTGGGGCCAAAAGACCATTTTATATTGGCCAAAGAGCTGCCCAAAGTCTCAGTCCCTGGCATGTTGTACTTATTGTGAAATTACAATAGCAAAAGAGAAATTTAGGTAATGCAGGATAAAAAAGAGTCAGTCTTGAACCCTCAAGGAAGAAAAAGATTTTTCCATTTACATGTTACTGATAATAGTAACTCCAAGAAAATTAATTATACATTCAGATCTTGCATATCATACATAGTCAGATTTATTCCTAAGTGGCATATTATCAAAATTTCCAGTGGCATTTCAGCTGTTCATTAAACTTTACTGTAGGACATAGTGACGATTTATTACACAGCTATAAAGGCAGCAGTAATCATTATAAATGCAAGCTTTCAATGTTTCTTTCTCTATGTTTAAATCCTTTTTATTCTCCTTTTTTCCCCTACCACTGCATCTAATGAAACAGAGATGGTAGCAATCGGTAAGCAAGGAGCCACCTCCTTCAACAGCAGCCAATTACTTCCTCTGGTTTATACAGGAGATGGGAGGTGTGCACAGATTAAGATAAGTAGCCCCCTGTAAAATATGGTTCTGGATTTGTGTCAAACTAGCCAGTTGCATAGTGAGGAACAAAAACAACAAAAAAAAAAAGACAGTTGTGCTGAGGACCCACATCTGAAAAAAAAAAGGGGGGGAACATCTACTTTTATGAGGAATTCCTTTGTTTCAAGCAGAGTCGTGAAAACAATATGCAACACTAATGCATACAGAAAATACATTTCTATACTCTTTGTGGTGGCTTTCCATGCCACTTCCATGAGTGTCTTACATGATCTTTACTCTGGCTGCCACAGCAAAATCTTTGTGCTATGGATACTTACATTTTGCTTTATTGGTTCCACTCTTTAAAGGGCATGTGCCTCAGCCCTTGCAGATTTCTGTCTGGTAATATCTGTGTATTGAATCTTATGATGTGCTGCAGTCTTCTTGCAAGCTCAGCTAATCAGTGGGCAGCAACAAGCCCCAGGTGACGTATTTGGCTAACTGGCAGCTAATCAAGTTGATTTGAATTTTGCATGTCACATATTGGCAGCCAACTGTTCACATCATAATCATAAAATACATTTTGAACCAATCTAGGAAATGCATTTCAGGCAACGCTGATCAGTTTGCAAATCTGCAGCATGGTGAAGTAGCTCACATGCATCAGAAAAATTATGTCTGTTGAATTATTCATTCAATTTTTCTTTAATCCAATAACAGGCAATATTTTTTTTTCCAAGAGTTACATGGTTAGTGTTAGTTACCAAAATGCAGTAAACAAATGTAACCATTAGTAACAGTTGATTTTTCACCATATTTCCTACCTTTTTTTGAGTTGTTTGGAGCACCATTTATTCTGATGTCTAAGCAAGTTTTGTCCTGTGGAATCAAATGGTGTAAGGGGTCAAGGAGTACAGAAATCACTGTTGTATTGCACTGTATGCACAGTGAAAATGGCAAGCAAGGGCTTTCTCTTCATTCTGCGACAGGAGTATCAGGTAATTAGCATAAGTTTACATATTTTTATTAGGAAGGTAATTAGCAGCCAGAGAATATAGTATTGTAGAGATGGACTAGGTTTTATTACAGTATTGGATGATTCAGAAATAGACCCAGTTTCTGAAATACTTAGGTGAGTGATTACATAATGGAATCGTCCTCCCAAAATGCATTGACAATTACCAGAATTGTGCATGCCACTGGGAAATTGCTGATACTAATTACCATCATTAGATTCTTGAATACAAAATATCTGCAAATGCTTCAGGAATTAGAAATAAAATGGATTCTCTTCTTTCAGGTCAGCTGTGCATATATTTCTAAAGACTAGGAGGCAAAGATTAAGCCTGTAGTTAGGTTACAGATTTTTCTTTCATATACCTGTAAACATCTCTATGAGATTTACATTTTTAAATGGAAAATTTAATTAATGTTTTAATTTGTTTTCTTTGTGATATGTTTTTTTAAATTAAAAAATATATCAAAGACTCACCCTTTTGATACCTTACAAAAGACATATCCCCCAAATAAACTATTTCATACAAGTGTATTTCTCTCACTTTTTGTGACTCACATCTTTATAGGATGCCTCAGGTTGTGAAGATGGCACTTAGCCAGCACATTCAGAGGATAAAGCATCTCACAAGTGGAGGATTGTTCTAGCTGACTCTTAGCACATATGGCAAGAAAATAGCAGAAATAGAAATTCCCTGGGGAATGTGGGGGGGAGGGGTTTTTGTTTGGTTTTGATTCCTTGTACATCTCACCTGTCACTTGTATTAAAAAACTAGGCAAAGTTATTCCTTCAGAAATATAATTTTGACTTTTAATCTTCTAATTTGACATCATTGTGTAAAGCTACTTCCCTAGCATGCATTTTGTTAAGTCAAGGCTTAAACCAGATCTAAAATAAAATTTAAATCATATCAAACCCTATCAGGTGGCCTATGCTGTTGGAATTATTTCACAGATTAAGGCATACTATGAGTGAGTTTTGCATGGTTTATATGATCTGCCTGCCCTATTGGCCTGTAGCCCCTTGAAAGCCCCATGAGAAACAGTCCTGTTTCATGAGTACATACTCATACTCAGTCCTGTTTCATGAGTACTACTTTCTGCAGTATACATGAGAACGTGTCAGAGTCACATCACCAGCAGCATTTCGAGATGTGGCTGTTCAGCTGATAAATTTAGGATCATCCTGCTGATCAAACTATCAGGCTTCTTCCTTCTTTACCTGCCTCCCCAGCTGGTTTTGATGGTTGCTGCATTAATCTCTGTAAGGCCAAAGGGCTTTCTCTACTGCTCATCTCAGTGGCTCCTCTTGCTCTTTTAAAAATCAACTCATGAAGTCATTTCAGTGTTGTCACTTTAAAAGTCCCTCATAGTGGGGGAGTGGGGTTGCTAGAGCTGGATGCTGTAAAATTTTTCCATTCTGCTGTCAGTAAAGAAAATGAACATGATTTTGCCATTATGCTGAGACATGGTTTACAAAAAAATGAAAAGAAAATACTTTCTGTCCTTTTCTCTTCCTTGAACCAAATAAAAGGGTGGCATAATCCAAATAAAATACTGACATTGCCTTTATTTTATAAATATACAAGGACTGTGTCATGACTTGTTCAAGTCATGCTGTTCCATAGAAAAACATCTGGTTATTCTCACTCCTGGCAAGGCCATTTGGATTTGATGGAATATCTCCTTTCTTTCTTTCTTTCTTTTTCTTTTTTCCCCCACCCAAAACTCCCAGGATATCCAGTGAGCACTCGCCAAAGCTCCAGATCCGGAGCCACAGTTACCTGAGGGCAGTGAGCGAAGTCTCCATCAACAGGAGCCTGGACAGCCTGGACCCCGCAGGGCTGCTGACGTCCCCCAAGTTCCGCTCCCGCAATGAGAGCTACATGAGAGCCATGAGCACCATCAGCCAGGTGGGTGATGTGCACCTGGGGCAGCCTGGAGAGCAGGTGTCACGCTGGACACTGCTTGCCATAGGAAAAACTGGATTTTGTTTCAAGTGGTGCTCACCAACACTCTCATTGAACAGGGTTCTTAAGGATCTTGTGCTTAGTACTTCCAATCAAAAATTTTGAATGCCTCAAAAAAAAGTTTGTATGCTGAGGGAGATGCTAAAATAAAAAAAATGTTTGTATGCTGAGATGCTAAAGTAAAAGTAAGCTGTTAATGGTTTGTGTTCCACAACTTTGATAGAGATTTTATTTTCTTTATGATATTTTATGCATTCTTTACTTTGTATACCTCCAAATGTTTCACCTAAATAATACAAATATTACAGTATATATATATTAGTGCAAAAATCTGTCTATATTTTTGCCCTGAAATCCTGTAAGAGATCTTTATGCTCCTAAACAAGAAGAAGAATGAAGTCTACTGTAACAGATTCGGTTTATGTGTTTTAATGTTATAAAATAGTCTGTCTTTGCATGCTTGTACAGTTGAGTTCATAGGGAATAGATCTGAAAGTGCAAAAGTGCCAATACACCACGGGGTAGAGGGGCAGCAGTTCATCTGCTACATCCTCTAACTCCTTGGTATGATTTTTTGCTTGTCAGCTTAAGTGGACCATTTGGGTAAATCACTTGACTGAAAGAACTTCCTTATGCTAATCCAGAAGTGCAGCAGGCAGGATTTGTGGTGCCAGATACTGATCCCTAATGACTGGCATGCCAAGTCATCACCATGACAAAAAAAATGTGTGACATCAGTGACACCAGGACTTCAGCTTTGGCCTTAACAAATACACGTGCCATTCAATATGGAGCTGTAGTTTCCCTTTCTGCAGTATACTATATTTAGACACTTCAGAGTAGTCACCTGAGTATTTTGAAGTGAGGCATTTTGAATAGGGCATGGGCTGATGCTCTAAAAAGAGAGTCAGGATGTATTTAGAAGAAAACAGCACAGAAAATTAGGTCTCAGAGGCAACTACATGAACATTAGGTCAGGTTACTTGTTTAGCCACATACCTAACACACAAAAGCGTCAGCCCAGGAGTGGTTACATTTGCCAAGGTCAACAAACTTTTTTTGGTTCAAAAATGCATTAATTCAGAGATATTTACTTGAGGATTGGATGTTCTCTGCCGTAGTAAGATTATTCTTTTTGGTGTACTACCTGCTACTCTTCCATGCTTTTTTAAATAGTTTTCCTTTGAAAAAAATATGTTTTGCTCTCTGAGATTTTTTCAGTTATGTATACAAAGACTCTACAAAGCATTTTTCTTGGTAACATTAATCCTGGGAGAGAATTTCTAATGGGGGTTTTTTCTGCCTTCCTAACATAGTCTTATCTTCTCCTGCTAACTTGGTCTTGTACATGCTTGAAAACTAACAAAATCCTCAAGTGATGGTTTCCATCTGCATGTTTCATACAGTGATAATTATTGTGCTTTTATGCCAAGTTCAGGCCTCAATGCTCAGTTTAGAAACATGAGCATCCATTACTAATTAAGCCAAGGTTCTTAAGACCTGTAGGAAGTTTCTGAATGGTCTTTGACCACTGTGAACACAAGTCTTTTGTCACCACCTAGTGTCTGCTGCACAAAGGATTCCTTTGCATTTGCTCTCAGCCAAAAATTTAGTTCTACAAATATTTTTCCCCAGCAGCAAAGTTGGGTTGGTTCCCTTACCAACCTCCTCTTCCTGTTTTTGTTACCCTGCAGCTTTGTAGCCACTCAGATTTTGTCAGTGTGACTACCTGTAGGTTGCATTGATTATGTACTGGAATTAAGCTGACCCTTCTTGTTTTTTATCTCACCCCACAATGAAAGTGTGATTTTTGTTTTACATGTAATGATCACAGTGACCAAGCATTCAACCTGTGCCGTGGGCCCTGGGTCACATAAAACAGAAGCTACTTATGAGGGCTCCAGGTTTCCCACCAGTTTCAGAAAAGCCAAGAGTCCAAACTCAGCTGAATCTTTCCCCAACACCTGTGTCTCACCTTTTTAGACATTGTTTTTTCTCCCCTCACAATTGCTGCTATGGGATGTCCCATTATCTTTCTTTGTGTGCAAAGGGAGGCTCTAACAGGTGTTGGCCATTGTGCCACCATGGCTTGAGAGTGTTTGTATCAGGCAGTGTGGAATGTCGGCGTATGGGATGCACTGACCCTGCTGGTGTCTGCCCGCAGGTGAGTGAGATGGAGGTGAACGGTCAGTTCGAATCCGTCTGCGAGTCGGTGTTCAGCGAGCTGGAGTCTCAGGCCGTGGAGGCGCTGGATCTGCCTATGCCGGGCTGCTTCCGCATGAGGAGCCACAGCTACGTCCGGGCCATCGAGAAGGGCTGCTCCCAGGATGACGAGTGCATATCGCTGCGGTCCTCATCTCCCCCGCGCACAACCACCACGGTGAGGACCATCCAGAGCAGTACTGGTGAGTAGCACAAAGGGAAATCCAGAGCGGGGGCGGAAAGGGAAGGGACTTCCAGTGCATTTCCATCAGATCAAGCTTTTTCTCTGCCAGATGCCAAGCCCCTAACAGAGTCTTGTGTTTCACCAGGGAGCTGGACAGACTAATCAGCCTCAAACCACAAACAGACAAATGCTGATGCAGTTGTGGTTCCTTCTGTGTCCAAGCTAATTTATTCTGAGCTAAAAGCACATAGAAGGGAAGTCCAAGATCAAGTCTCGTCTTGCTATTCTCCCCAAAAGAGCAATCACAATTTGGCAAGGCTGAACAAAGGTCTGGGTTAGCAGTTCTGCTGGCTGTGACCAGCAGAGAAAGGTCCCTCTGATGAGGTCTTCTACAATGTTGAAGTAATTGTGTAAGTTACTGGATGTTGTTTTTACTGGCTTGAAGAGACTGTTCCAGCTCTCTAGACCCCATCTAAGATGTGAGAATGAAGAAAGGAAGAAGCAGTCTGCAGGTGAAAACATGCATGTTACATTCCTTCTATTAGTTCTATTAGTTCAAACTATTAAAGCCTTGCTAGAGGGAGAGGTTTTGGTGTAAACATGAGACTTCAAACCTTTCTTTTAATGTTTGAGGTTGCTTTTCTTTTGGAAATAACCATGATGAATTTCAGATTTTGTCACCAAAATAGTGCTTAAGGGGAAGAAAAAACAAGTAAAACCAAATTCCAAATCTGTCTCTCTCATTCAGGAAAGCAAGAGGCAGGAGCCATTACATGTGTGTGCTCTTCCTTGTGGCAGAATGAGAGAGAGCCTCTTTCTTTTGACTTCTGTGCAACCATTCCACTGTTTTACACAAGCTTCATTTACTATTCATATACTGTTCATATACTAATCATGTTGTTGACTAATATTGACTATTATGCGTATTTCACTGTACCTGCTATCTCTTTTGCTGTATTTTTTAATTTCTGTTTTCTGTAAACTTTTGTCCTTTTGTGTGTTATCTCACAGGTGCAGTTGTTTATTGCTTGTAAGTCTTTTTTAAAGCTGCTTGTCAATTGTTCGATGTCTTCAAAGAACACTTTAAATCCTTTTACCAAAAATGTTCAGCTAAATTAAAGATTTTTCTAAAAGTAGCAAGTTTAAGTACTGTTGGAAATATATTGGCAGTACATCACAAACATCAAAGCATTTTTAACAAATGCTACAGAGAAGTTCTCATCTAAATCACTAAAGAAATAGTATTCACATGACAGCATTTCTGCTATAGAAATAGCCCTTGTGGGCACACAGGGTTTGAACCAAACCACAAAGACAGGATTTGCAAAAGGTGTGTGCTACTTCATGGTATTAGTTTGTGACAAACATATTCTGAGGCAAAAGCTGAAGGATGGGAGTTTCCATGGAGTTTTCAGTGTGCATTCATCTTTGTTAAATCAGCTTGGGTTGATCCCAAAGAGGGTTTTCTATTCTGTGAGAATGGCTTTGCTAACATTTTTCCATTATAAAAATAACTGTGATCATTAATACTGAAGAGAATAGCTATTTTTTTCATTATCTGCATGTAAGAAGTTGTTCCTGTCACTTAGGAAAATGATGCCTGTGTCTGGGGATAATGGCATATAAATGGAGAATGTTGGCTGTGTGTGCCAGCCAAAAATGCTGGGAAACATGAAAGAGGAAAATCTGTACTGTAAACTATCTCTTGTTTATGGTCCCTTTTTTGTAGTGCAACCATAGAGGCCTGATCTCTTCTCTGGCTTTACTTAAAAAATCATATGAACAAAACTGTGATATTGAAAAACATAATCCAGTGAGTATGTCTTGGGTTATTGCTTCTGTAGTCAGGCTGTTAAAAGCAGAGAGGAATGATTTGCTCTCTTTGGATATGCATACAAGCATTTAAAGATTGCTGTAGATGCCTGTTTCCTGCTGTGGGAATTTTACTGAGTTATCTTTTTCATTTTCTAATTATTGGGCTCCAAGAGCCCATTCCTTCCACTGGTAGCATTTCAGACAACTTGTGTCTCTTTTAGTATCTGACTTACCACTATCTGTTTAATGAGTATTAGAATTGAATTAATTCTATTCAAAAGCATCTATATTGACTATCTTGGTGTTGCCTGTGCCTGGCTCACAGAAGAGAAATATGAAAGGCAATGTTGATGGTTTCTATTTATATCTGCTTCAATAAAATGGGAAATGGAACAACAACTAGGCAGATATGAAGAAAGAACAGCATATCAGGTTTATCTCCACTGAGGTGATGTTACAAATGTTTTTGTGGAGACATGGGTGCAGTTATGATCTAAAAATGATTTTAACATCCCCAAATCAAAGAACAGTCCTCCTGCCCATAAAGCATCTCTGCCTGTTCAACCAAGAAAGATTCCTTTCATCAACATCAGTGATACCCTCAAGAACATGGCTTTTAATTCACTAATACCAAAGCTGTGATCATACACTGATACTGAGAATCTCTTTGACAGCTGAAAGTCCAGGGAAATGCCAGCTTGATGGAAAAGACAGGAGAGCTGTTGGCATATTGGATTCAAAATTGTTCCCCTAGAGCAATGATCCACAGCTTTCTAGGGCATCTGGATAAAGCAAGAACTATGGTCAAAAATCACACTTTGCCCATTAGCCTTTGCTGTTGTGGTGGCAGCCTCAGGTTTTCATTTCCTTTTGCCACATGGTGTTGGCAGTTTAGTTCTGCAATCACAAATTGCACCTCTAGCTCAGTTCCTGAGGATGTGCCCAGTCTAAATACAAATCTGTGCACTAGCTATGGCACATAACTCAGCTAAGGATGGCTGCCCACCTGGTGGCCTCTGCAGCCTGCACTGACTGACCTTAGTGCTGCTGTGGGGACACTGAGGGGTGCCTGCATCTGGATGAAACTGAGCCCAGGTGTAAAAATGGAGTTGGAGGCACAAATTTGATGTCACCAAAGGGGTGAAATGTTACACTTCGAGAGGGGAGGAAAATCCTAACCTCACAAAAGTCTGCCACCAATGCTCCTTCTAATATCCAACCTAAACCTTCCCTGTCACAGCTTAGGACTAAGTCCTCTTATGCTGCCACTGTTTGCCTGGGAGAAGAGGTCAATCCCGATATGTGAATCAACACATACAGGTAATGATGGCAACCACCAAACCACAGCTGAAATGCAAAGAGTGGAGTTATTTCATTACCTCACCTCTGGGCAGCAGAGACACACTGAGACATGGGCTCTGTTGGGCTTAGTTCATCCCAGTGAAAAGGCACATGCTCCATTAGGCTCAGTTCATGCTAGCACACAGTGACAAGGGGAACCACTGCCTGCCCCAGGCATCAAAGAGCCTTGCACACATGCAATTTATCAGAAGGCTGTACTTTTATGATATCTCACTTCCAGCAGAAAGCACAAGCATATCTGCAAGTGTGTTGTCTCTACACAGGAATTCTATTTCTCAAAACTAGCAGAGGAGGAGTGGCACTGGACATAATAAATGGACACTTGTTCCCACTCTGACATTCTTAGCATTTCCAGCTGCAAGGTCACTTTGAGCAAAAACTAGTCCCTCCTTGCCAAGTCTCCCAGTTTTAACCCTTTCCTCCCAACACCCACCTGGCTACAAACTCCCTTTATCCTTGCTTTTAAATGAAGGGTTTTGGAATGAGGAGGAGAAAATGCAATCTTGACACTTTATATGGAATTATAAATCACACACAGAATGTCTGGGTTGAAAGAGACCTTTAAGATTATCTAGTCCAGCCCAGCCCGAATATCTCAACTAGACCATGGCACATCCAGTAATTTTTTAAACGCATCCAGGGATGATGATTCCACCACCTCCCCAGGCAGACCCTTCCAGTATTTTATCACCCTTTCTGTAAAAAAACTTTTTTCTAATATCCAAACTATATTTCCTTTGCTGCAGCTTGAGACTCTGCCCTCTTTTTCAGTCAGTTGCTGCTTGGAGAAAGCGACCAACCCCCACCTGGCTACAACCATCTTTTAGGAAGTGGTAGAGACTGATAAGGTCGCCTCTGAATCTCCTTTTCTCCAGGCTAAACAACCCCAGCTCCCTCAGTTGTTCCTCACGGGGCTTGTGTTCCAAGTCCCTCACCAGCCTTGTTGCCCTCCTCTGGACACATTCAAGAGTTCCATGTAATAAGTTCTATGTCACAGCTGCATCATGCCTTGAAAGCTAATCAGCTGAAAAGCTCCATTCACCCTCATATTTGCTCTCTCCATTTCAGTGGTGCCCATGGAGGTATCCTGACTGGGGCTGTCCCTGGGAGCAGGGCTATGCAGAGCAGGAGGCAGAGCAGCCCTGAAGTGCTGACATATGTTATACACCATAGGCTGCGCTAAAAATTAACACCCAAGTCGTTTGAGCTCTTCAAAGGAGTTTAATGAGCTGTGAGTTATCACATCATTTGATCCCAGGTTATTTGCAGATGAATCTATTGTAGCTGAAGCACTTCAGCCAACAAATCCAGTCACTAAATAAGTAGCTTTTTAACAATTTTAAGTCTGTGAATCATTTCAATGAGCTTGACAAATGCAGTAATTAAGAAACAATGAAATGCTAAAGTAGTCTAAAGAGCATCTTTCTCCCACATTTATTGTGTCTATGTTTCTAAACTTAACCTATGTAGCAGTGCATGATCCTTTGTTGTAAACAAACCTTATGACATTGTGAGGACTCAGGCATGGGCACACATGCAAACAAATATATTATACAGTATAATGTACAAATATGTGATGACATCTCTCAGAGTTCAAGTAGCAACATCAGGAAAACCTCTGGACTAGATTTCAATTCAGTTCCTATCCTCTGTTGCTTTAGGTGAAGAGAAATATCAGAGTTATCTGCAGCAATGCCATCTGGTGATTTTCAGTAATATTACACTTCTGCTTAAAAGCAAAAGAAATAAAAATCCCAAGGAAATCTTGGTGTGTAGCCAGAAGGTTAGAGAAGGTCAGAGAGTTACCACAGTGTATGCTAATTATGGTCTTTCAGCTGAGCA